GTTGGGGCAGGGAAGTCAGGAAAAACGAGAGACAGAGCAAGGGAGTGATGCAAAGGAGCAAGTCCGGTGGCCCTGTGAAGGCTGGGCCTGTCTGGCTGGCGCCTGTGCCGCTGTGTTCACGAGGTAGATCCATCAGTGGCTCCCAGCAGCCACAGGACACAGTGAAGGCCTCCCTGCTCCTTCTCTGAAAGGTAGTCATCTCACCTGTGACTTACCTGTTGGATGCCAAATGGATCTCCATTTGGATGGAAAAAGAAAAACTAGATAGAACCTAAAAGGTATGACTAACCTTTTATCCAAAATGAAATTACTTTTAACGCACTGCTGTGTTATTACACACCAAACACAGGACAAGTTAGGAAAATCTGTATTTTCTTTTGTAAATTATATGTAGTATGCATTTAAATGTGGCCCCAAAATGTTGTAAATGACCTGATTACCCTACCTGTAGTAGGGAAAATTTTCAAAAGTTGGAGTAAAACACTGTGGTGTAAAATATGCCATGACTTCAAGCACTATAGCACCTTCATGCGGCCCTCCCTCATCCCTCACCTGGACCACTGCACTGATCTCCTAAGGTCTTCCTCCCCTCTTGCTTCCCTCCCCGTAATCCATCTGCCACACACAGAGCAACCACAGTGACTTTAAGATGTAAAATCAGCCCAGCCGGTGTTGCTCACTGGATTGAGCACCGTCCCATGGACTGAAAGGTCCCCGTTCAATTCCCAGTCAGGGCACATGCCTGGGTTTCAGGCTTGATCCCCAGTTGGGGGCATGTGGGAGCCAGCCAATCAATGTTTCTCTTCCTCTTCCTTTCTCTACTAAAAAAAAGAAAAAATCAATAAAAACATTAAAAAATAGCTTAAAAAATTGGGGGCATGTGGGAGGCAGCCAATCAATGTTTCTCTCCCCCTTCCTTTCTCTATTAAAAAAAAATCAATAAAAACATTAAAAAATAGTTTAAAAAATGGACAAAGGACCCGAATAGGCACTTCTCCAAAGAGGACACACAGGTAAGTGGCTAATAAACATATGAAAAAATGCTCATTGTCACTAATCATCAGAAAGAGGTAAATTAAAACACAATGAGATATCACCTCACACCTGCCAGAATGGCTATCATCAATAAATCAATAAACAAGTGTTGAGAAGGATATGGAGAAAAGGGAACCCTCGTGTACTGTTGGTGGGAAAGCAGATTGGTATAGCCATTGTGGAAAACAGTATGGAGTTTCCTCAAAAAATTAAAAATAGAACTGCCTTTTGACGCATCAATCCCACTTCTGGGAATATATCCTAAGAAACCCAAAAACACTAATTCCAAAGAATATATGCACCCCTATGTTCAGAGCAGCATTAATAGCCAAGATCTGGAAACAGCTCAAATGCCCATCAGTAGATGAGTGGATAATAAAGCATGTGGGCCCTGGCAGGTTTGGCTCAGCGGTTAGAGCATCGGCCTGCGGTCCGGAGAGGCCCGGGTTCGGTTCCCGCTAAGGGCACGTACTTCGGTTGCAGTTTGTCCCCGGCCCTGGTTGGTTGTGTGGTGGCAGCCACTCGATGTGTCCCTTCACATCGATGTTTCTCTCTCTCTGTCTCTTCCTCTCTCTCCCTCCCACTCTATCTGTACAAAAAATGGAAAAATGTCCTCAGGTGAGGATAAAAAAAACAAAAACAAAAAAAAAAAAAATAAAAAATAAAAAAATAAAGCATGTGGTACATGCCCTGGCCAGTGTTGCTCAGTGATTACAGCCCTCCCATGGAAGGGTTTTGGGTTCAATTCCCAGTCAAGGACACGTACCTGGGTTTCAGGATTCAATCCCCGGCCCTGGCTGGGGCACATGTAAGAGGTGGCAACCAATCAACGTGAGAGAAACACACTGATGCCCTCCCACCCCCCCCACCCCTCCCGTCCACTCCCTCCCTCCCTTCTACTCCCTCTCAAAAAAAAAAAAAAATCAATGGAAAAATATCCTCAGGTTAACAAATCTTACCTGGTGATTATTATGCTAAGTGAAATAAGCCAGTCAGAGAAAGACCAATACCATATGATCTCATATGTGGAATCTAATGAACAAAATACACTGACAAAACAGAAACAGAGGCCTGGATACATGGAACAGACTGACAGCTGACAGAAGGCGGAGGGTTGGAGGACTGGATGAAAGAAGGTGAAGGGATTAACAAAAAAACATATATACATAACACACAGACACAGAAAACAGTGTGGTGCTAGCCAGAGGGAAAGTGGGGTGGGGGGGTTGGTGGACATGGGCAAAGGGGTGGAAAATGGGAATGGAAAGAGACTCTGCTTGGGGTGACGGGTGCACAATGCAGTGTGCGGATGAGGTTTCATTCAGTTGTATACTTGAAACCTGTATGGTTTTGCAAATCAGTGTAATCCCAATAGATTCAATAAAAAAAAAATAATAATAACTTTAAAAAGGGAAAAAAAGAAGCCCTAGCCAGGTGGCTTGGTTGGAGCATCATCCCGATGATAGTGGGTTCAATCCCTGGTCAGGGCACATACAGGGGTCAACCAATGAGTTCATGAATGGTGGAACAACAGGTTGATGTTTCCTTCTCTCTTCCTCCCTCCCTCACTCTCTAAAATCAATATTTAAAAAACTTTTTTTTAAAGAAGCTGGAAGGCCCTGGCTGGTTTGGCCCAGCGGTTAGAGCATCGGCCTGTGGTCCGGAGAGACCCAGGTTTGGTTCCGCTAAGGGCACATACCTCGGTTGCGGTTTGTCCTCGGCCCTGGTTGGGTCGTGTGGGTGGCGACCACTCGATGTGTCTCTCTCACATCGATGTTTCTCTCTCTCTCTCTCTATCTCCCTCCCACTCTAGCTGAACAAAATATCAAAAACAACAACAAAAAAATAATAAAGAAGCTGGAAGTTTGTAATGCAACAAATGTCCATTAGAGGGCTCCCCTGACAACTAAGAACAAGACCAGATGTTCTGTTAAATGTGTGACAAGGATATCCTCAATTAGGTATTAATAAAAGGGGAAATCTAAAAAAAAACAAAACAAAACAAAAAAACATTTAGCCCTGGCCGGTTTGGCTCAGCAGTAGAGCATCAGCCTGTGGTCCAGGAAGGCCCGGGTTTGGTTCCCGCTAAGGGCATATACCTCAGTTGCAGTTTGTCCCTGGCCCCAGTTGGGTTGTGTGGGTGGCAACCACTCGATGTGTCCCTTTCACATCAATGTTTCTCTCTCTCTCTCTCCCTCCCTCCCACTCTATCTGAACAAAAAATGGAAAAATGTCCTCGGGTGAGGAATGCATGAATAAATAAATAAATGAAAGGGGAAATGATCACAGTACAGTAAATATTTTAAAAATCAGCACTCTCCCACACTTCCTTCTAGCTGTATGACCAGACTCCCTCCTGTGGCTGGCTGCCTGGACCTATACACACAGACACTCACAGTGAGGCAGCCTCTCTGTCCCTCACTGTTCACAACTGTAAGTGTAAACAACAACAGTACCTTCCTCAAAGGGAGGGGACAAGGAGTAAAGGAGATAATGCATGTGGAAGGGCTCAATCTGTGGTGGGGTGATTACTTCAAATCATTGAACAGAAGTTCTTGTGTGTATGTTACATGCCACTGAGCAGGCTCTGACTCCTGGTGACCCTGTGAACGAGTGATGTCCACAGTGTCCCATCCTCAGCAGCCCTGCTCAGCTCCTGTAGACTCATGCCCATTGCTTCTTTTATGGAGTCAGTCCATCTCATATTTGATCTTCCTCTTGTCCTGCTGCCTTCTATTTTCCCAGTAGTATTGTCTCTTCCAAAGACCCTGTCTTCTCATGCTGTGCCTGAAGTAGGGTAGCTTCAGTGCTGCCATTTTTGCCTCCAGCGATGTTTCAGGCTGAATTTGCTCTAGGACCCACCTGTTTGTCTTCTGGCGTCCAGGGTGTCTGCAGAGCTCTTCTCCAACACCGGATTTCAAGTGAATCAGTTTTTTCTTATCAATGTTCTTCACTGTCCAACGTTCACATCCATACCTAGTAAGTTACCTTATCTACACCTTTCGCAATCATTTTGCTGTGCCCAAACCTCACCTCTCCTTCAAGGCCCAGCTGGTCAAATACTGCCTCTCTCTCTATAGCGAGCAGACATGCTTAGTCCCCAACCCCAGTTCCCCTTTTTGGTTCCCCTTTACCTTCCTTCCACAGCCAAGCTTTTCGGCAAAGTTGTCTACATTTCCATTTATTCAACTGATTGTGATCGGTGTTCAAATATTCAGTTTCCCAGACATAACATACTCCATCACACTCGTACCTCTTTGCACATGTGGAACACCCTCCTCTGTCCTTCCTTATCTGTCTCCTATTCACTGCTTAACACTCCACCAGCCTCAGAGGCCTGCTCAGACCCTCGCTAGAGATCCAGACGCTTGGTGCCTATGTAGCTGTGGCACCCATCTATCACACCCATGATTCCACTGTGCTGTAACACTGTTATCTGTCTCCCTATGAGACCATTAGCTAGTAATTGAGGGCACAGACCATATTTCATCTGCAGCATTTCACACAGTGTCTGGCATGGAGGAGTCACTTAAATACTTGTCAAATGAGGCCCATATGATCTTAGAATTAGAATTTGTTTAGTGTGTACTCCACAACACCCAGAAGGTAATTCGCAATAAGGAAGCTCAAATGACAAACATGCACACCCCTGAATTTCACAAGATATTGCAAAAGGCACATGACCATAAGAACTATGCCAAAAACACTCTTCTTAGAAAAAGTAATAGGCAAAAAACATTTTGGTTTGGTGGAGTTCCATGACAAAACAAAGTAGATTGTTGTTTAATCGCCAATTTTTCATGTTGAAAGCCCAAAACTCGTCATTGATTTTGCCCTTGAAAAACTGCTTGTAGAAGTGAGGTTCTAGAAAATATTCCTCATTTTTACAGAAGAATTTGAGCAAATAAATACTTACAATGAATCAACAGAATAATTCTGCAAGGGGAAAGGACTGAAGACAGTACCTGTAGATAAATTTTCTTCACGCCAGGCACGTAGTCGGCAATCCGGCCGAAGAGCAGCCGTCCGACTCCTGAAGTGATGCCGATACACATGAGAACCACCTCCTTATTGATTTCATCCTGAAACCTCTCATTCACATATTTCACCTGTAGACCAAAGAGAAGGGAGCCACACTCAGCGTGGTAGGAAAACTTGACAAGTTTGAGGCACTGTACAAATGTCTTCGGGTCTCTATAATGTTAGAGGGGACCCTCATCCCCTTCCAAATTCAAGTACTTATAAAATGTGCTCTGTGAAAACAAATGAGAACGTGTGAGGAAAAGCTAACGTGATTTAGCGTACATGAAAGAAATAAGAATTTTTATGAGGTCTTTTAAAATTTTTAGCAAAGGGTTACCAACACACTTTATAAGTGAACATCAATCCGTTAGCTAAAAGGAAGAGAAAAACCTTTTGAACACAGCACACAACCTTGCTCTTTCAAGGTCACTCAAGGACCCAGCACATTATCTCCACCCCTGAAAGGCAGTTCAAGGATCAATTCTGGAGTTTCATCTCCTCTAGGAGAGCCAGAACCAAACCGACACCCCTGAATTAAGTCATACTGGAGCTTCCAGAATCAAAAGCATAAGTTTTCTACCTGTGAATTTACCTATCTCTGTGATGTTAGAACAGATAAATATACAGAGTCAGTTTAACATAGTGTTTAAAAGAAAAGACTCCAGAGAGACTGCTTGGGTTCAAGTCCTGGTTCCATTCCTTATCAGCCTTGCGACCCTGGCTAACTTCTTAACCACGAGGGCCACCGTTTCCTTGTTGGTAAATGGAGATAGCAATAGTACTTCAAGAGGGAAGTTGTGATGATTAAACATCTATATAAAGAAATTAGAAGAGTACCTGACACACAGTTAATAATGATCAGATATTAATTCTAGCCTGATTATTTTAAGAGCTTTTCCTTTAATTTACAGTATACTTAGAACAATGACTGAAACCAGCAGCCTTACAACATTTAAGAAGGCAGTGTGACCGGGCAGGTGTCATATTGGGTGACAACACAGAGCTCAGCACCCACCATAAACTTTGCTCCCACAGCCAGAATTTCCGTTCACCACTCCTTTCTTAGCACTTCCATTCGCTTAGTGATCACCCATCTGTGCTCACGACGAGGAGGAAAAGCAAGTCTGTACTCCTACTGAGATGCGATAACAAATGCAAACAGCTCTTTCAGACATTCAGACTCAATGTGCCCTTACACCAAACATTGGCCTGAATTCTGGAAGCTTGCAAAGCAGATTTCCCGGCAAGTTCAAAGGCCCAGATGGTTCCCATGTGGTACCTGTGAGCCTTTCTGGATGACATCTCAGGAGACTTCCATTTCGCATTTTTAAGCCCACTTGGCTACGCCAACACCACCACATCTGTCTATTCCCTTTCAAAACTGGTAACTATTCTCACCTTCTGTATTTTCACACTGGTCCAGAGTAATCCTCCTAAACAGGGCTTTCATTTCATCAATCCCTTACTCACCAGTTGCCCACTGCCCACATTTAAACGCCTTAGTTTGGCAATTCAAAGCCCTCCTTAATCTGTCACCGATCTATCCTTGTACCTTTATTACCTACTGATCCTTGACTCAGAAGCAGAATACTCAAATGCCTACGGGACTCAGCAAAGAGCATACAGTAGATGTGGAGAGGGGAGCAGAGTTCAGTTGATTATGACCACACAGGACCACCATGTTGTCAATCTACCTCCCAGTCCCCTTTTATTTTAAAAAGGAAGTCAGAATTCTGGATTTTTGTGTGGAAATGTTGGCACCTAACTAAATTTAGAACACTGCATGATTCAACCCCACCTATGCAAGCCAAACAAAACAAGTCTGCAAACTGCATGCACTAGGCCAGCTTTGATCTCAGCCTTAATCCCATCTGGCCCAGCAGGATGGGTATATTCACAGTGTCTGAAACATTTTCACCTCTCTACATTTCTGCTGCCTCTTCTACCTTCTTTGACTTTCTAAATTCTATCCATTCTTTAAGATCTGCTTAAATCCACCTTTTCTATAAAACTGCCCATGATTACCCCTTTCTTGTCACTGCCTAAAGTTTACACTGGCACCTTAAGCACTGTGTGTCTACCCAGCCATTAAAGCTTCTAACTCGAGCCCTGGCCGGTTGACTCAGCGGTTGGAGCGTCGGCCTGCAGTCCAGAGAGACCCGGGTTCAGTTCCCGCTAAGGGCATGTACCTCGGTTGCAGTTTGTCCTCGGCCCTGGTTGGGTTGTGCGGGTGGCAGCCACTCGATGTGTCCCTTTCATGTCAATGTTTCTCTCTCTCTCTCTCTCCCTCCCACTCTATCTGAACAAAATATCGAAAAATGTCCTTGGGTGAGGATAAGAAAAAAAGCTTCTAACTGGACATACTCTTGAGTAAGCTCTTCCATGTCAAACTGGACATATCTACCTGCCTGTGACAAAGGCACCTCAAAGTTAACATGCCCCATGCTGAACTCATGTCCCCTCACAACCCGCCCTCCCTCCATGTCAGTTAACACTACTACTATTGGCCCAACTACCCCAGGTGGAAACCTGTAACTCTCCTAGATTACTTCCTCCCTCTCTTCAAATCCAGCAGTCACCACCAAATTCTGATGATTTTACCTCCGAAGTGTCTGTCAGACAAACTTCCTTTGGTCCACGTTCCCCAGTGTTTCAGTTCGGGTTCTTACCGCTCCTCACCTGAACCACTACAAAAGCCTTCTAGCAATGCTTCTCGCTTGAGCCCTGACTCCGAAACCTCTAACCTATGTTCTCTGAGACCACCAAATTAAGTTTAAAATAAAAAATAACATTTCTCTGCCTAAGATCCTTTTATGGCTCCCATAACCTTCAGGGTAAAGCTCAAACTCTTGGTTTGACAAATAAAACCTTGCTACTTTGTCACTGCAGCCTCACCTTCGGCTGCCTCCTCCCAGTCACCATGTTAAATAACACTGTTGTCCAATATGGTGTACGTAGGCTATTAAGCACTTAAAATGTGACTAGTTGAACTGAGATGTACTTTAAAAGTGGGGGGGAAAGCATACAAAATATCTCAATAATTTTAAAATATTGATTCCATGTTGAAATAGTATTTTGGCTATGTTGGTTAAATAAGATGTACTATGAAACTAATTTCACTTTGTTTGTTTTTTACTTTTTAAAATATAGGGAAAGGAAGTGGGAAAGGAAGAGGAAGGTACAGGGGATATAAAAGGTGATAGGAGACTTGACTTGGGGTGGTGAACACACAGTACAGTGTACAGATGATACGTTGTAGAACTGTGCACCTGAAACCTGTATCATTTTGTTAACCAGTGTCACCCCAGTAAATTCAATAAAAAGGAAAAAATAAAATAAAATATGGCTACTAAGATTTTTAAAAATCCCATATGTGGCTTGCATTATATTTCTATTGAACAGTGCTGGTCTAAGAAATCTACTGGTGGCTGCAAAGAAAAGACAGATTCAATAAAGGACCTCAAACTGGCTAATTCCTTCCTTATCATTCCCCATAAGTGAAATTAGACAACGTAGAAAGAGATGGATTCCACCTCAATTCTGGCTTTATTTGGAATCTGAATCCAGGCTCTACTGTATTAATCCACCTCAGGAAGCACCCAAAGGATCTATTATAACTTTTTAAGAGACATTCTTTAGTAGTAAAAAAAAGACTGAATTTTCTAGTCATTCTTTTGATGAAACCAAGACTACTGCCTGTCAAATTGCGGTTTTTTGTTTTTTCTTAAATTTTTTTTCTTTATTGATTTGAGAGAGAGAGAGATAAAAACATCGATGAGAGAGAACACAGATTGGCCGCTACCTGCATGCCCCTCACTGGGGATCTGGCCCACAACCTGGGCATGTGTCCTGATCGGGAATCAAACCAGTGACCTCTTGGTGCATGGATCGATGCTCAACCACTGAGCCACGCCGGCCAGGTGTGATTATTCTTTATTATTATTATTTTTTTTATTATTATTTTTTTTTAATCCTCAACCGAGGACATTTTTCCATTTTTTGTACAGATAGAGTGGGAGGGAGAGAGAGGAAGGGAGAGAGCGAGAAACATCGACGTGAAGGGACACATCGAGTGGCTGCCACCCGCACGACCAACCAGGGCCGGGGACAAACTGCAACCGAAGTACGTGCCCTTAGCGGGAACCGAACCCGGGTCTCTCCGGACCGCAGGCTGACGCTCTAACCGCTGAGCAAAACTGGCCAGGGCTGATTATTCTTTATTAGTGGTTTGTTTCCCTTGTTCTACTTTATAATCCTAAAAATGAATAATGAGGTGAAATATTTTGAGTCTTTTGAAAGTAGGTAAATTTGGTAAATTCAAATTATGCTTAAAGGGAAACTTAGTTCTTCACAAATAAGGTGTATTCCTTCACAGAATTTTGTTGTTGTTTAAATAAAGAACTTTCGCTCTGGCTGGTTTTGCTCAGTGATTAGAGCGTCGGCCGGCAGACCAAAGAGTTGTGGATTCGATTCCGGTCAAGGGTACGTATCTAGGTTGGGGTTCAGTCCCTGGCCCTGGTTGGGGTCATGCAGGAGATAATCAGTCGATGTATCCCTCTCCAATTGATGTATCCCTCCCACTCTATCTGAAAATAAATGGAAAAATATCCTCGAATGAGGATTTAAAAAAAAAAAAAGGAAAGCAAGAACTTCAGCTATACCTGGCTGGTGTAGCTCAGTAGATTGAGTGTCATCCCATGGACTGAGAGGTCTCAGTTTGATTCTTGGTTAGGGCACAGGCCCAGGTAGCAGGCTTGATCCCCAGTAGGGGTGTACAGGAGACAGCCAATCGATATTTCTCTCTCATATCAATGTTTCTATCTCTCTCTCCCCTTCCTCTCTAAAAAATCTATTTAAAAAATTAAGGGAAAAAAAGAACTTCAGCTTCTAATACCTGTCCCCACCCTCAGCCAAAATCTGCAAACTAAAACTAAAAGTGTCTTTGGTCATTAAGGGAATCTGGGAGTCGGGAGAACAGAATCTGAATACGCTGATCTCTGGGTCCTAGAAGTAGCAGTACTTAGGAGATTTGGTGTGTTCTACTCACAGCCTGGCCTCCCCCTGCTGCCGACTAGTTTACAAATAT